TGCTGGTGCTGGGGCTGGCGCAGGACGGCGTGGCGCTGCCCGCGCACGAGGCGGCCCAGCCCAGCATGCTGCAGCGCATCCTCACCGCCCGTCCGCTGCCGCCGCCCGCCGCCGACCTGCAGGTCCTGCACGGCGTCCTGGCCAAGTGCTGGAGCCTGGACATCGGCCCCAAGGAGTACGCCTACCTCAAGGGCGCCGTGCTCTTCAACCCGGGTGAGTCGCGGGGAGCGCCCCCAGCCCCCGCACACGGACCTTGTTTGAAATGTTCCCGCGTTCCGCGCCAAACAGCTTCCAGCTCCACGCGTCGGCTCAGCCCCGGCAGTGGCCCCGCTACCGGCACACGGCCTCCCCCCCAGCTGGGGCTTCCACCTCTCCCAGTCTGGTGGCGGGTGTCTCTGTGCCGGCCCAAGCCTGGAGGCTTGGGGTTCGGATGCCCCCGACCTCGGCCATGGAGCAAGTCTCTCACTTCCATGAAGTGGGTGTAAAGCCAAGATCTTCCCACTCCAGCAAGTGGGAGATTAACTGTACCTTACCTTTCTGGGTACTACCCCCATGCCAAGAGTGGTTGTTCCTGGGTGCAACTAGGAAAATCGCTTTGGTGGTCACTGTGTTTCCCTTGACAGGTAAGCATAGGAGCTGTGCTTGATCTGAGCTGAAAGGCCGAGAGGTGCACAGACGCACGCATTTTTCTCTCCCTTCCCCAGCCACACATACAGGCTCTCCCTCTCCCCGTGTCCCCCTCTCTGCCAGCTCAACACACAGTCTTCCTCTCTTCCCAAGCCTCCCCACACTCCGTCTCCCCCCCCACACACAGACCGACACCCTCTGCCTCTCTCCCCCAGCCCCACAAACACGCACACTCCCCTTCTCTTCCTCAAGCTGTGCACGCACACACACTCCTGCAGCCCCAGGTGCACTGACACGCACCCTTTCTCACATCCACACGCTACCCTCCACACCCACCCCACCTGTCCTTCACTGTTTTTCCAGATGTTGGCAGGGAGCCCTGGCACAGCAGCCTTTAGTAGGACAGCAGCTGGCAAGCCAGGTGTGGAAGAGCTGCCTCTAAGAACCAGCAGCGTTTCCACTCACTCTAATCTGTCACTGGAACAAAAAAAAAAGTCATATCCTTACATATACTCTCTAGTCACACACATGCTAGTTCACCACGTTTACGCTGTTGCAGTGTAGGTTTGGCACTTTTCTTGTGCTTCCATGTCTTCATTGTAATATGCTCATTTAAAAAACCAAAAACTGTATCTCATTCTTTGGTTAATAAAGGTGGTTAGCAAAGGTAACAGCAGTGATGCAACAGACAGATGCCTGTGAGTTGTTTATCTTCAGGCCACATGATGTCAGAATAGAAAAATAGCATCATGCACTAGCAACAAAGCATCCGCCAAATAGATTAAGATATACCTGACTGACAGACCTCAGGAAGTAACTGTTTCTAGAAGGACTCTTTAGAGAGCAGTCTTCTTTACAGAATTGGTGGGCAACTTGGAACCAGGGATAAGACAAACAAATGGTTCTTGACATGCTTGTGTGGGAGGGGTTTTCCTAGCATGAAAAGGGGAATTTAACTTCAATCTTAAGATTCTAAAAAAGTACCTGAATTGGATGAAATGAAGACATTTTCCCTACCAATCCAGGCATACCTGTAAAGTCCATGATAAAAAGAAAACAACTTGCTAAACAGTTGATTTATATATTTTTAAGACCATCTCTCTGTTGTGCTTTTGACTCTGATACTGGTGTTTTTGTACTCGTACCATCAAACTGTTAGATCAAAAAGGAAGACACCTGTACTCCCAGTAACTATTTTCCGTATTTTGTTGTGTTAAATAGAATGTCTGGCATTCAAAAGCTTGTGTAACTATCCCAACTGCACAGCTGGTCCAATACAAGAGATCACTTTAAGAAATCCTTGCCTCTTACAGTTTCTGGACCATCATGGTTAAAACATCCCTCACACACCAGCAAAACTCCAAACCCATTTTAGAGTTAACAAAATATTCAACTGAATAGTTCCACAATGAAGTTGCCAGCAGGACATATTAAGCATGAATAATGCATTTCCTAATGGTCAACAAGTTAGCCCATTAGTTCCGTTTATTGTTATGTCTTGCTATTTATGTCACATTTGGCACTTTGTGGGTTTTTATTGGCCACAATTCACAACGGTAGTCCGTATGTTATCCCCTATACTACATGCTTTATTTTTAAAACAATTAGAAGCAATATTTTTCAATACTCGTTTACGTTGCATAACAAAAAACAGCTTTGCATGTACAGAGGAGCAATTAGGAGAAGTTTACGTTAGTAAAATCTATGTGCACTGGATATGTAATTTTCACTGTTTAAAATGTTTCAAGTTCAGTCAAAACACTTGGTTTGTTTCCCTGTTCAAGAAACCTTTAATAGCAACCTGTATGAGTTGCCAGTTAGCTGACACTTGACAAGAAGAGTCATTTTTAATTGTTGTTTAGATAATTTTGTAAACAGAAATTTAGCGTTCTATTTTTCTTTCAGATCTACCAGGGCTGCAGTGTACACAGTACATCCAGGGACTGCAGAGAGAAGCACAGCAAGCTTTAAATGAACATGTCAGACTGATTCACAGAGGGGACCAGGCCAGATTTGCCAAGCTGAATGTTGCTCTTTCCTTGCTGAGATCCATTAATGCTAATGTAATTGCTGAACTATTCTTTAGGCCTATCATTGGCACAGTGAACATGGATGACATGCTGCTGGAGATGCTTTGTGCAAAATTATAAAGGCATGTATAATATACAGATAAACTAAATGCAAAGGAAATCCTAGAGCAGAATAGTGTACAGCACTGTAAATAAACTAACTTATTGTTTTTACATAGATAGTATTTTTGTATTCAATAATAAAATAGTCAAGTTATGACATTACATTTTTATTAAAGCTATTGCTTTTAGAATAGCTTTCAGAATTACAATCAAATTATGCCTTTTAAACTGTTAAGAGTTTTAGTTTCCAAAGCTGAGGTGAATATTCTCTTGCCATACCTCTGAATAAAGATCATTTATCTGTGCATTGTTTTTCTAAAAAAAAAAAAAAAAAAAAAAAAAAAAAAAAAAAAAAAATTGTAATCCCCATTTTTCTTTAACCAGTGTTTGTAGTTTTACATTTTGATGCATTTATTTTGAGTGCTAAACTACGCTGTATATTTCAGTCACATTAAATAGGATGCCTTAGCCACAGAACTATTTAATAGGTCAACTATAGACCTTACTGGAAGCCTACTGAATTTAATTAAGTCCTTATATTGATATCAAGTCCATATTGACCTGATAAAGGAAACATCTGCTTGAGAGCTTGTCTGCACAAGGACACTGACCAGAAGAGCTTCCTGTGTGAATATACTACTCTGGAATAAAAATATTCCAGGAAAAATTATTGCCATTTTAAAGCAGAGTAATTATTCTGGAATAAAGCCACCACTAGTCACCATAAAATTATTCCGCAGTAGCTCTTTCTAGCTATTTCTTTATGTAGACAAGCTGTTAGATAATGAACTTTGAAATCTCTGTAACATTAGAAGTAGCTCCAGTTCCTCTAGTGCCCTTGACAAAACGTTTGGCATATATTGAATTATGGGGGAAATACTCCATTTGTTTTTAAACTCTTAACAAGCTCATAAGAACAAATTGGTAAGCCACAGGCAATTGATTTTTATTTTTCCTCCTCCTTTAGGCATTTTCAGTAAAGAAGTAGAGCTCAGTGGAAAAGATTCTGACCTTCATTACCACTGGGGAAATACACATTTACTCTACATTTATGATTATTCTTTATTACCATGGTATTATGACTAGAATCTGACCCAGTGAGTTTTGTAGCTTGCATATAAACTTATTTTTCTTATTTGCCTTAGTCTACTGACTATGCATTGAGCTTTTTTTTTTTTTGTCCTCTCCCTGCTACACTTTCCTTTCCTCAAAGGAATCATACACATCAGGAAGTGAAGACTTGTTATTGCTGGTAGTTCACCTTTCTGCTAATTAAAGATTGTTTTGAATAGTAAGTCATCTTTGTTCTCAGATTTTACCCAATAAAGTGTAGACCTTATTCTACTCTACTACCTCTGGATGTCAAAAATAGCCCCCTGTCCCTTGAAAATAGTTTAATTGTTAGTGTAAAAGGGAAATAACTTCCAATTTAGTAATATGCTATACTGTAGGTTACTAGTGTCATTTTGATACTAGTGTAGATCAGATCAAACTGAATAACTAAGCAGTTTCCAGTCCCTGTTGCAGTGGAAGGAAGTCTTTCGCTAACAGCCATTGTCATCAATGGGTCATTTTCCAAGCATAGGGGTCCTTACAGTCTTTGTTTCCTTGGTGATATTTAAGCTAATACCATCAAAACAGTAGAGTTCAATGCATTCAATCAGTCAGGGTTCTACAATTTTAAATAAGGTGCATTCATTACAAAAAGATACTTAAAACATTTTATACAATGATTCATCTTTAAGTGGTCTAAGCTGGGGATTTCATAGATTTCATAGCCATTAGGGCTGGAAGGGACCTTGGAAGATCATAGAGTCCAGGCCCCAGCCCCAGGAGCAGGAAGTCAACTGGAGTCACAGGATCCCAGCAAGATAAACGTCCAATTGGCTCTTAAAGGAATCCAGAGTAGGTGCTTGCACCACGTCTGGGGGCAGCCTGATACTATTTTTGTTACCATGAGCTTTCTAATTATTGAAAAAACTGTCAAGAAAAAATAAAGGCCTGGATAAGCTATACCAAGTCACATTCAAGGCTGTAGGGATGGATGTAATAATTCCATTCTCTTTCTCTTATCCCCATACAGATCATATTTTCCAAAATATTGTTGAAAAAACATGGCATTCCTTCAAAACTTGAAATGTGTTTTGCTTTCAACAGTTTGAACAAAATTGCAAAAGGAAAATCAATTGTTTGGGGGGGGGGGTTGTTTGTTTTTCTGGGTTTCCTTCTCCCCTTGCCACCTATTCCCAAATTTACTCTCCTTTTCCAGTGGAACATGGGGGAAAAAAGAACAAAAAACAAACAAACCATGGGCTAGCATGCTTCAAACCTAAATAAAGGCCAGTTGTTGATGGAAAGGAAACTCTTTAAGAACAACAGGATTTTGTAAAACTTAAGCAAACAGGACTTGAGGCTATCCTTAGCTCTCACTGAGAAGTGTTCTGACAGTTGGGAGGAAGAATTCAAGAAAGCTTTTCTTAATCCAAACCCTAGGAGCACATTGAGGACCAGTAACAATCACCACTTCAGCATATGGGGAAGTTCAGAGGCTTGTCTGTATCCACCTAGTGGGGCACAACTTATCCCAAAAGTGGTAGGAAGAAGAGTGGAGATAGGGGGCTATCTCGCAGTCTGTAGAGCTGGTTAAACCAGCCTACAAGTAGGCTGCATCTACTGAGATTATTTGTAGTGCCATAGCAATGAGGAGACCCTAGTCAAGAAATGGATGTGCTGTACTAGGTGCTGTACAAACTGAACAAACATCTAGTCCCTGCTACATACAACAATTACACAGCTTGTATGCCCTCTGTCTATGCCATGTAGATCTGGTAGGGATTGTGCCTCCTGAGGGACAGTCTCTTCCAGAGCTTCCACTGAAGCTCCACCCCACTTTCATTCCTGTCCTGGGCATTAATTTGGGTCTTACATTTCATCATCCAAATAGCAATATTCCTTTCAAGTATGAGCAACATGTATATGCAGAGGAGAGCTTGTGATCTTAGAACAGTCAGTTCCCAAGGAAGTGATCTGTGCTGGAGAAATAGTGCCTACGCATACTGAACTGGGACATTTATTCATTAAAATGTGATACTACACTCTTCTCTTTTATAAAAATCAGGATTGCTTTTTAATTTTTTTCCAATGTCAGTTTTACACCTGCACAAAGCTTCTGTTCATCACCTTGGAACAAGGCCAAGCATTAGCTTACATTAATACCACACTGTCCTCAGGACATAAGCCTCTGGCAAGTAACCAACCCATGGTAGGGAAAGCTCTGCAGGCCCTGAAGATTCATTCCATAGTTGCCCCAGATGTAATGTAGCCTCAGAGCTACAGACTACCTTTTAGTGAACCATGCCTGTTCACATGAACGGCAGCAACAGGAAAGGAGCAAAGAACATCATGACTGGAGGCACCATTTCATGACAGATCTAAAACATAAAGCCTGCTGGTAAAACTACCACTCTTACAGTAATAGACTTCATATGTCCACCAGTTAAGGATTACAGAGCTCTCCTGTCTCAGTATTATCACTTCATCAATTTTATAGGCAGCCATTGTAAAGAACAGCGGGTGGGCTTACTATGACAGCTGTTCAGTCTTGAGAGCAGAAACAGCATTATACTCTGCTCTAGCCACATATGCCAGAGACTTGTTGGCAGCCTTACTGAAAGAGAATTATACTAGCTGATTCTCACTGTCACTGGATCTGTTTATCTGTTGCACAATCGGTGAAACAGCAGAATCTGGCCACAATTTTACACCCTATGTTGTCATACAACTTTTCTCTAGAAAGATTTAGAAATGCAAGGTTTTCTATGCTGTTTCACTATGTCTCAATTAATCTTCTCCATCAGTGGGAAGATACAGTTAGAAATGCTTTCTCATAACAGTTTCTGCCTATGAAACAGACATCTCCCTTGGAATAAGAATGAAGCAGCCCCAGTGCACCCAGACAGTAATACGATGGGAGCACTTGTTATACCACAGTTAAGAGATCCTCCTGCCAAACAATTATTTCTAAACTCCATCAAAAGTACTATCATGCCGGACAGAGACAATTTCAGCTGTTACACTTATTTGTCTTTTTGGGTTGGAAGCACCCTGGAACAATAGGTACACAAAGGAGGTTGCCTGTGTGGGGAAACCAGTTTGTGCAAGGTTTACTGCAGAAGCCAATGCGAGAGAGAAAAAAAATCCCCCGAACAGAGCAAAGGAACAGAGATGACAAACTATGGTTTAAAAAGAAGAAAAGTTAAAGATCACAGAAATACACAGGAAGTGACAGGTCATAAAAAATGGGTATGATTTGGGTTCATCTGTCTTATGCTCCTGAAGAAATAAACATTAGACTCAGGGCACCAGTAGCATAACTAGGGCAGGGTAAGCAGGGCACCAGCCCTGGGCACTACAAGGGGGCTTCAGAATTCTGCCCCCTTTGCCCCCCTCCACACCAGGAGTCTTTACCATTGAAGGGCAACCCTCTACAATAGTCTGTGCAAGGGTGCAGAATGGACTGACTACACCCACAAAGCTGGAGTTCAGGAAGAGGTTTTGGAGAGCAGCGGTCCTAATGGCCAAGTAGATGGACCAAGAAACTGGCAGGAGGGAAAATTAGAGCAGCAACATCACAAAAGTGTGTCTAGCAAAGCCAAACCAGGAGCACACCTGGAGTCCTATTTAGCTATCAGAGGCTCAAAGCACACAGGAGGCAAGCCCCTTAACACCGTACCATGGAGAATGTCCAGCTAGAGGTGGGTTTCTATCAGCACTCAGACAGGCCCTTGCACATGAAGATGTTCATACACTGAATTCAGTTTGGGTTGCTTCCATGCCAAAGACCATTTTAGTGCTACATAATGTGGCAACGTATTGCCTATTGGATTTCTAGGCAGCAGGAGGTGATCTCCAATTTAAATCTATGCATTTCCAAATTAAAATTTATTTTTATGTAGTATTACCAGCTATTCTAATGCTCCAGCTAGAGTAATTTTCTATACTGATCACAAAGGAATCAACAAGGACAGTGCAGAGATACATGACATTTATCCTAACTTGTAGGAGCAACATGCATATTTAAGTGAATCTGCTATTTGCTCCCCAACTTTGGCATCTATTCCACACACAAGCTCGCTTACGTCATGGGTATTTCAGCAGCCTCTCCACAAATTTCATTTAGCTATCCTTATAGTGACAGCTACTGCTAGATAAAGTCACTGAAGTATATTTCTCCCCCTTCCCCCCCCCCCAATAATAACTGTTGCCACCTACATCAACCCAGACACACAAGATTGGAATGCTAGCA